CTGACATTTGTTATGCCATAGGTCTAGTGAGTAGGTATCAATCTAATCCCAAAAGAGAGCAGTGGAAAGATTTTAAGATGATATTGAGATACCTGAAGGGTACTTCTATGATGTGTACTCGTCCTGACTTTTGTTATGCCATAGGTCTGGGCAGCAGGTATCAATCTAATCCTTGAAGAGAGCATTGGAAAGCTGGTAAGAAGATATTGAGATACCTGAAGGGTACTGCTAATTATTCCCTATGATATTAAGGGAATGATTTGTGTTTAAAAGGATACACAGATGTTGATTGGGGTGAAGACCTAGATAAGAGCAAATCAACTTCAAGGTTTACACTCTTGCTTAATAATGGAGCTATTTTCTTGGAGTAGCAAGAAATAGACATGGATTTACTTGTCCATAATGGAAGTAAAATTTGTTGCATGTGCTTCAGTTGTACAAGAAGTTAATTGGTTAAGGAGATTCTAGAAGTATCTAAGAGTCCTTAGTGGTGATGTGGGACCTATATTGATTTACTGTGATAGTTAGACGTTATTGCATATACAAAGGATCCAAAGTATTACAGCAAAACCAAACACATTGATACAAAATATAATTTTGTTAAAGACATCATATGAAAGAAAAAAGTAAGTTTGTAGTATATTTTTACGCACCCAATGGTAGTAGGGCTGTAAGCAAAAACCGCCAAATCGGAAAATCGAACCGAAACCGCAATTTCGAAACCGGCGGTTTATAAAAGAAAAAATAAAAATTTGAATTTTTTTGAAAATTTATCCAAAATTCTAATTTTGTAAATTCAATAATTTTGTCATTTTGTTGGTATTTTTGTCAATTTCTAATTTTTTACGACCCGCCGAAATCTCAACCCGACCCGCTATCCTAATTTTTTTTTTAAAATGAACTCCCCACAAACACTGCCCTAATCTCTAACCTTCCATTCATCTCTCCCTCACTCCTGAATTTTCCTCAAATCGTCGGTAGTCTACGGTCATAATTTTCAGTTGTCAGTGACGGTCGCCGATAGTCCACGGTTCATTCACAACTGATAGCCTTCAATTTCGTTGCAAGACTGCATGATTTTTTGTGACCTATGGGTTAGTTCTGTGATTTTATTATTATTATTTTAGTTACATAGTTGCATGTTCTTGATTCTTGAACATGGAAACCGTCTAAGTGATTACTAAACATAGTTTGTCATCTCAATTCTTGAAAATCTCCAAATTCGTGATTTTTTATGACCTGTGGATTATTTCTATTTTCGAAATTTTGTGATTTTAGTTACATGGCTACGTGTTCTTGATTCTTGAACATGAAAATTGTCTAAGTTGTCTTTGGAATTATATGACTGTGATTTTACTTTGATTTTGTTGGTATTTAAATTTATAGTAGATATATTTAGTTTATTTTAGATTTATTGCCAGTAAAATATAAATATATATTGAATTAATGACATAAAAGTAGACACTAGACATGCAAAAAAATATATGCGAAACCAGCGATTTAAAATCGGACCAAACTGTTAGGTTTAGATTTGAGTTTTTTTTTCAAACTGGTCAAAACGGTTTGGTTTAGGTTTGAGTTTTTCTCAAACCGGTTGTAACGGTTTGGTTTGAAAATTTGTCAAAAATCGGTAAAATCGGACCGCTTACACCCCTAAACGGTAGCTGATCCATTTATAAAACCTATCCCTAGAGATGTTTTTATGGCTCGTGTTAAATCACTATTATTACATATAGTTTGAATTATGTACTATGTAAACTTTTTATATCTCCATTAATGAACAATTTTTGAGTTCATATGTTAAGAGTAATCTTTTTGTTGTGATTACTAGAACATTATTTAATTTCCACACATAAAGTATGTCAAACGGGTTACGATTAATTCACTCACACGAACAATCGCATCAGACATTTTGAGGTGTACTGAGACGAGACAAAGTGATCATGTTATGTATGTGGTCCAATCGCCTTGATAAGGTATTAAGATGAAATTACAATAAGAAATCGAAATTAATTTTGCTATCCATTATACCTGAATATTAGCCAGATCGAGTTCTCGATTGGGATTGCTTAGAGGAATAAATATAAGGATAACTTAGATTAGATATCCAACAATATATGAACTATGATCTATACGATATATTTAATTTGTAAGATTAAACATGCACCCTAAGAAAGTGAGAAAACACCGTAACATGTGTTTCATGCCACATGTGCTATACCAATCAATGAAAAATGAAAGACCACGTGTGAGTCTCCATGGCACATATGACCTCACTTATATACCCTTATGACTATTGACTCTTTCTCAGAATTTTATTTCAATGTTGCTACTTTAGCATGTTGTCAATAACCATAGTTGATTCGGCTTGATGGGACATGTCAAGAAAAGCATTTGACTTGAAATTATGGATTCAAGTAGAAAATAAAGACTATTTTATCTAACACCACTACTTGTATTCATCGGCAGGACAATTGTGTTAATTATTTGAGTTTTGAGACACAATTGCCAATACAACCTCATTTTTGTGATTTCAAGTAAGTTCTACTACTTGGAATTTGGTTATAAGCATACAAGCATGATTTACTGTTTTAAATTTGGATGTTTTTATTTTGTTTTCAATCAAGTGGACAAATTAATGATGTAACTGTTCCACATCAGTTTTTTGTTTCTAGAGATAATGGATTTGAAAGGAGTGATGAATGGGTAAATATTTGAATAAATGAATGAACATTGGGTAATCTTCTTTTTTTGTTTTTCAGTGAGCAAATAGTAACCAATGGTAAAGTTGCACTGATTTAGTTAACTCATTTTCTTTTATTTCTTCATTTTTCTTCTTAATTTCTTTGTGAAATCTTCTTGTGATTTCTTGGTGAAACTTGCCATCAATTACTTCTTCTTGCTAATGCCTTTTGTGGTTGTTTCCTTTGTGGAAAATCTTGTGTTATTTGTGATGCAAGGATTATATTGATTTGAGTTGGAGATTGAATGTTTGGGCAAGGTTGTTGAGAGTCAATCTTTTTGGATTAGGGATACTAAGTCGCACTACAACAAAAATCATACTTTGCAACATAAAAAAGACAACATTTGTTAATCGAGTGTTGCTAAATGGGTCTATTGCAACATTTTTATGAGTGAATTTTGTGATTGGTTAATATAATTGAGTTTTGGAAACATTTTTTAAATAAACGTTGCTAATGTCGCCTTTTACAACATTTTTCGAATGTTCCGAAAAGTTTCATTCTTTGTAACCTTTTTTTGAATGTTGTTAAAATCTGATTCTATAACAACGTTCCATGTTCGTAAAGTTTCATTCTTTGTAACCTTTTTTTGACTTCAACATAGGCGGACCTAGGGGGGGTCCCGAGGGGGCAAGTGCCCACGCCCCCCAAACTTTTGAGATTTTTTTTTTAATATAAAATTGTGTTTGGTATCGATTGAAATCTAAATTTTAATCTAAATCAAGGTTAACAATTAATTTTAATAACATATTTCATGGAATCCATAACTATTTAACTTTTATCAAAATTTACTAAAAATTTAATTTGAATCTTCACCAAAAAAGGGCAAGATCATAATAAATTTGAATTTCGATAACATGCTAACTTCAAAAATTCTCATACGATCGTACGCTAATCGAATTTACAAATTTCTTATGTCATCTCAAAGCTTATTTCGAGAACTACATTATGGGCATATCGAATAGTCCAAACAGATATCGAAAATAGTTAAAAATACGTTAAACGTGAGTCTTAAAAAAAGACGTCTAACTCGCATTTTTTTAAAAAATTCTTTTTAATCTCTACTAAACACCCTCTTAATAAGCTTTTGTTATGATGAGGCCAATTAAGCATCGCTATCAACTTAAAAGGGATTAAACTATAACATGAAGAGATATGCTTAAGAAGGATAATGTTCAGGTGATGTAACATGGTATTCTTCTCATGAGCTCAAATTCAATCATTCATGAAATTCAACAAGATTTAGTAAGTTCAAATTCACTTGACGGAGTCTAACTCGATACTAATGGTGCAATTCTAACCTAGTAACATTGACCAAAAAGTCAATAGTGTCAAAAGCATGGTAACAATGTAGTGAGTACAAGTAACTTCATGTAAATGTAATTCATAACACTCACTGAAATTTTGATACATTTTCACTGTCGATTTAGAATTACCTTACTCCTGACCGTCCCATCTTTTCTTTTCGAAGTAGCAAACGTATATCAAACATAACAAAAAAGTTGAGAGAAGCAGAAAGAAAAATGCAAACAAAATGCAACTCTTGGAATTGGTTAAGGAAGCATACACATATGCAACAAATATGCAATTTTTTTTCGAAATTTTACATCTGAAAAAGTCATATCCCATGTAAATTTTCGGATGCAAAATTATATGGGGTATATTTTTTTGGACGTAAATTTTTGATTGTAAAATTTCTCTCAACTTCTTTGCTAGTTCGATTGTGCCCCCCTAACTTTTAAGGTCTGCGTCCACCCCTGGACTTCAACTGTTTTGGTGGCCAATTCTTGGCCCCATCCCAACTCCTGGAACCTAACTCCTCCTCTTCCGGCTCCATCCTCTACTGGTCCTGGAACAAGGTAAGATAATCCTCCTGTTGCACTCTACTATTATACTTTCTTCTCCATGTTAGAGTTATTGTTGTCCATGTTAGAGTTATTGTTGCTTTAGTATTACTATGTAATAGTTGATAACTTGCTCATCCTGTGACTCTGAGTTTCTGAGGGAGGCATATGAGAGGGGATGCTTGGTTGAGACAAACCCAGTTTATGAGGCTCGGAGGAAGCTTCTTTACCTTGTTGCTTTAGGTGTCGTGGCTTGGACAGAGGCATTGACGAGTTGAAGATTGTGGAGAGTGACGGAAACAGAGTGAAAGAAGTGAAGAATGATTGAGCTGTTGAATTAGGGAAGTGGCTTATTTAGGTCTTCATTGAGTGAATGATATGCTAAGTGATAATGGGACGTCTAGGAGGATAAGAAATGAAGGTCCTTAATAAGATGCCTCAAAGAGTTCGGTCAAAGGGAGCACATAATGCACAAGTGGACCAGAAGATAGGATATGCTCCTGCTCCTGTCCTCAGAGGTAACTACGTTATTGCTAGGAGGATATGGCGCTTATTGCTTGGTAAATTAGATAGGCAAATCTTTTGTGGGAGATCTATACCATAATAAAGTATGCAATTGATTTTCCTATGAAAAAAATTTATACTGAAATCTTATTTATTTGAAAGTTTGAGCTGCGAAGAAAGAGATACTTTCACACCCATCACCAGTATGCCACATTTTGGGTCATCGTACTAAATTGCTAATGAACTAAACTTGGTAACTATTGATGAGATTTGTGACTTCCCCACAACATCTTTAATTAAGGTGTGAGTTTTATTACTAAGAATTGATATTGTATTTCTCAGGCTATTGGTTAATTTAGACAAGTTATTAGAATTATTCGGGTTCAGTTCTGGTGGAAGCCATGTTCCATGATTAAGTGCAAAGTTGCAAGTGGTAAACATATCTACTAAAAACATAGCTATGCAATCTTGTATAGTTTCTTATTACACCTGAATGCTAGTTAAATGTGAATGCGTGGTGACTTTGTTGCCAAAATTTACAATTGGATGTTAATCTTTCTCCTCAAATTTTTTTAACAGCATATTCCTAGAATTAACGGTGAAATACCCTCAATCGATAAAGCAACTTTAGATCATCAATGGCTTCTGGACAGGTATTGGAATTCTGTTTCTTGACATGATGAACACTGGACGAAATGATTATCATAATTTTGGCAACTACTTGATAGATTTGTGGCAATGAGCATGTAAACCTTAGACATACTCTTAGATTTGGGAAAAAAATGCCACTGAAGCTAATAGTTCTTGGAGAAATGCTGACTGTTCTCAATGACAGCCTATGATAGATGATATCTTTGCATAGTGGCGGACCCAGCACCCGGCCAGGGGGGGCGGCCGCACGTGCTGGGCTCCGGCAGAAGATTTTTGGGAAGAAGATGGGTGATGGCCACCGGCGCCCGCCTGGTTTGGTTCTGCCATTTCGCTTCCTGTTCTGCTGTTCATCGTCTTCCCCAGGTTCTTTCCTTTTTTTTTTTTTTGGTTTTGTAATGAGGTTGTTGGGCCATTTGTTTTTTGCCCAAAACTTAATTATATATAAACTCAGACTAGACTAGACTAGACCACACCAGACCATCCCTTTTCTTTTTCTTTTTATTTCATAATTGGATTGGGTTATTAGTTTTCGGCCTATTTATCCCCAATTGAAATTAAAAATTTAGGAAACGAACTCATTTCCTTCAACTCCACCACGCGATCTGGATTTCCTTCATGGCTCCTGCCGAGTTCCGCCACCACTGTCCATCGTCCAGCCATCTTCTCCGGTACGCCTGCCGGTGAATCCTCACCACCACCTTCCACCAACCGCCAGTGTGAACGGCTGCAGCTTCTCCACTGTTTGCGAGTTATGACCGACTGTGGCGACGTGAGTTTTGTCATTTCTACCCATCGTGTTTTTTTTTTTTTTTGGTGTT